GCCTATCCCCTGTGTGCCTTGCCTCCCACGACTTATGACTTTTTATGTCTTTCCTGTTTTTTTCTGTTTTTTTACCGATTTTTCACTAATGTTCCCCATTTTCTTTCGGTCTTTTGGGCTCTTTGGGTGGCTCAGCGCCGACTTGGATGAGTTGACTGAGACTTGTCTATGAAACTTGGACCAATTGGGGGGTCCAAGTTCCCTGATGAAGCCACATTTTCAAACACTGGCCATAATCGATAAGAAACCAAACTTATTGAAACAATCTTCTTCAAACAATGGCATTTCATGGAATTGCCAATTATCCTAGCAAGACATGGACAAAGCTTCTTGTCAGATTATTTGCCACAATTTCCTTCTTTGAAACCAATCAGAAAGAACAAAAAAAAGAGGGGAAAAAAACCTCCATGACTGTAGCTTTCTGATTGGCCTAATAAGGGTGAGGACCTTAACCTGTCCCAAGCCCGGGTAAAGGAGGTGGGTTGTGTTAGGTAGGGAGCCCACGTAAACTTTGCCACATCTTATTATGAGTAGCCCACCCCAAATAATTGGGATAAGGCTTGGATGATGATGACTGTAGCTTTCTGGTGGTGGCCTTCTAGCTACATCATACCTAACCTTTTAATATTCTAGCTACATCATACCTAACCTTTTAATATTCTGTCTGTGTTCCTCGCACCTCTGGAAGATGAATCACAAATTCTATTATCAAGCACTTTCAACAATGGTTAAAACATGCTTCCTCACTAGCGTTACATCGTTCATCCCACTTGTTCAATTTAGGAGCATCGTCCAATTTAAAGGGCATTGGACCTTTGGAGACATCAAGCATTTTCAGAGTTTCCCAAGTGGCATTTGCAAATCTATTGGTCGCAGCCAATCATTGGAGTCTCTTCCTCTTCTCCACACTTCTAACACCTCCTGGAAGCTCAATAGTCTGTAGAAGTTCACAAGTCAAAGCTTTGTATTTTAGGGCCAACATTATAAGCAATCAAAATCTTTGCAGAAATAATTGAAACTATATTTATTTGCCAGACAACAGCTGTTCCTTCACCTTTAGCAAACTTTTAAAGCATGCTTTTGTAAGAACCTTCTTGCGGAGCTAGTGAGATTGTGACGTAAAGGTCACCTTGATTGCAAGTCTTGTTGAGCTCTGCCATAAACTTCACCATGTGTTGCAGTTGCTGAGGTTATCATGATATGGTAACTGCCATCTGGCAGTCGATAACTCTAAAATAGATGACCAGGAGTCACTTTGTCTGCTAGAAATCAGGATCCTTCCAGGGATTTCTGAAGGAGTTGTAATTGTATAAACTATTAAATTTGCTGTCCTATTTCTACTACAGTTGTCATATTTATGCTCTTTTGATCTTTTTCTTCTTGGATCTTTATAGGTAGTTAATGGCATTCCTCACTTGGTTCCAAAGGATGGGAAGCTTCTCGATACACATAATGATGTGGAATCAGATGATCTCTCGACATCGGCTGTTCTGAACCACAAAGTGCAAGATGACCATTGATAGAATTGGGGACTAAGGAGTAACAATCGCATGCTGAGGCCATTACTAAAATCTTTCTGTTTTTCTGCAAAGTAGTGCTTCTTCTTGTCATTGTAGCCTTTAATTGTATACTGTTTTTTTGTACCTTGAATTGTAAACATTTGCATCTTTAATTTAGAGCTTGATTGGAACTGCATTTGTTTTTCACTAATTCAGTGACTGTACTGCACATATCTGGTCCCGTTGGAAGCAGCTACCAAACATGTCTCTATGGGGTTTACCAAAGGCAAAAAAGTATAGAAGGATGCATAATTCTTTGGGCTTTTGCTCGTGTAAGTGTGCGAAAGTAAATTACCAGAAATGGTAATAATGGAAAATGATACATTCAACTTTACCGAAAAGTAGAATGCATAATTATTTGGGCTTTTGCTGCTGTAAGGTGGATGGAATAATTGAAAAAGAAGTCACAGACATTAATTGGTTATTGTATGTCGCAATCCACAAAAATTACTGAAATCACTTGATTGGCACTTGAGGATGATTAATCAGATGTTCCCTACTGGAATAGTCAATTTATCTTTAGACTTCTACAAACACCAAATGATTAGTTTCTTTGTCTATATTGATTTTGTAGGCTTCTGCGAAGTTTGAAGTTTGTATATTTCATGTTTCTGTAACTTTTGGATTTTCAGCAGCCTTCCTGCTACTAGCATTTTCTTTATTCCTTATGAGATATTGGTATTATAATGTATTATAATATTCTTGTAAATGAATTTCTTGGGTTTTTATCAACCCAAGAAATTCATTTACTAGAATATTATAATACATTCCCAATTGTCCAAGTGAAATTTCTTCATCCCCTCCTAGACGGATCAGTGAAATCCCTCATCAGCTGCTCTAACATCTCAAGGATAGAGATAGGCATCCAGAAAAAGAGACGTGGCAGAAATTAAGCAATGCTACATCTCAAGTTGAATTCCTAGTTTCCTACCACTGAACTACCCAAAAAAAAAAGAAAAGAAAAGAAAAAGAAAAGACAAAAAAAAGATACATTTGGCAGACATAACTGTAATATGATATTGAGATTGTATATCATGCATAATGTCCATGCTTTCTGTCAGCTAAATATTCATTCATATCTCAGATTTGATGTCTTCCACCCTCATCGACAACATAGCTTATCTGAGTATTCAGATTATAGATACATATAGGATTTTGCGCATATATTGACAAGTCACCTTTAGTCAACAAAATTCCACTGGTCAACATTACTCTCAGTGATTCATGGCTTTATCCTTGCGGTTGGCGGGAACGTTTTACGTGATATGGTACACCTGGTCATTCAGTTTGAGGGTTTTCCTCTACTAACAATCATATACTTTATTCACCCAAAAAACATTCATATGCTCTAAATTGAATTACTTTGTTCGTGTGATTAGAAGGCTTTCACTGTCCCAATGGCTCAAACATGTGGAAATCCCAATGGCTCAAACATGTGGAAATCCCAATGGCTCAAAGCCTCAAACATGTGGAGGTTCCTTAGGATTATGGGGCTCTATTGTGAGGAATTCTATGACAGAAATTATTATCGTTAAAAAGAAAAAAAGAATGACTCTCAACTTATAGTATTCCTCAGGAAGCCTGTGGATCATATCTTGGGAAAATTACAAATAACTTCCTAAATTAAACTTTCTATGCAAGTTATCTCCAACCAAACTTTTTTTTTCACTTTATTTATTTATTTATTTTATTTTATTTTCCAAAAATGCACTTTTTTAGCAAATACCCCCAAGTAAAAAAAGTATATTTTTTGGACGAAAATACTTTTTTTACATAAAAAATTAATTTTGATCGGACATGCACTTGTGCTTACAGGTGCTGTTAGACCGCTCTTTGACATTGCCAGACCTTGTTAAACTAAAAAAAGTGCGGACTGCTCTTTGACATTGTCGGACTGTACTTTGGGCCTGTTACCGTACCGCATGGGCTTATTGTCAGACCGATCTTTAGCAATGCAGGACCACATGGGTCTATTGCCGAACCGGTCTTTGTCAATGCCAGACCGTCGCTTGTACTGTCGGACCGCCACTATTATTTACCGGACCGACATTACATTGCTCCTTTTCGTGGGAAAGAGGAGAGAGGCGTGGTAGTTTAGACTTTTTTTTTAGTTTGGGGGTTGGGGGTTATTTGCTAAAGAGTATATTTTGGGGTAAAAAGTGAGAAAAATTTGGTTGGGGGTAACTTGTATAGAAAGTCTAATATTGGGGGTTATTTGTAATTTTATGTTGTTCTCACAAAGCATTTTAATATAGAAAAATTTTATATAGAGTTGAGGCTCTAAACAATCAAATTAGAGCCAACCTCAAAATTTTCTCGAGAAGAGGTTGTTTTGATGCCCAAATATCCTCAAATTGATCATCTCAACATCAAGATGTATGGACATGAGAAAAAAATGAATTTCCAATTTTGGAAACGCGCACCTTGTAATACATTTTTGGACTGTCAATTTTCAAGATTTTCAAGTTTTCATAGATCTACTCGATCTACACTATTTTTTAAGTTTTAAAATTTATAATTAAAGATGAAAATATATTTTAAAGCTATCACAAAGATTTTCATTGTTAAAAGCACATTTCTCGACACTATTTAAACATGGGCTCTAATTTGATTGTTTAGAGCCTTGGCTCTATACAAACCGCACCCTTCTTAATATTCCTCTAGATCCAAAATGTAGAGTCCTTTGAAATCTCTCTATGGTCTTTAAGAAAATATTCGTGACCATCTCAAAGTTCAAAACCACAATTTTACAGGATTGGCATTTCCTTTACAGAGGAACAGTTGGACAGTTGGGATGCGCAGGCAATCCGTGCTTGTGGCTGGCTAAGCAGTATCGACTGGGTTTAAGTTCTAGTTATGTGCATGCGTATGGCCAACGCTACAAAACTCCCACCAAAGTGACATTATCAGGACGGAGGGTGATGGGGTGGAAGCTGTTGCCTACAGCAAAAGAAGTGGAGAGTGGAGCTGATTGATTTACCACACTTCTTAAGGCCCCATTTTGGCAGTCATATAGATAAGGCAAAATTGCTTACGGACTAGGTTTCCACACAATATTACGGTCTGCGCCATATTTTTCTTTTATTTACACGGGGAACATCTCCCTCGCCAAATTCCATTTTTGTTTTAGTTTCACCCTTTGTCCGAAATTACTAATGTCCTACTTAATACTGCCCAAGCCCTTTGTTCCGTGATGGCATTGAACTCTCCCAAGAGAGAAAGCCAAACCGACTAGGAGGGCATCTATACAATTCTCTTCATGGGTTTCAAGAAGATTCTTCACTATTGCTTGGACCTATCTTTCCATTCTTTCTCTTTTAAGTACTCAGGAGATTCTGTTACATGTGTGAAAATAAATCACACATATGAGAGTTTTATTTAATTTTTCTCTCTTTTATTTTGGGCCATTGGATTGCATCTAATTCGATGATTGTGGTGTTGTAAGAATTTTACTCTTTTAAAGGGATTAAAACTCATTTCTTTAGGGAGAGAAAAAGTGAAAAAAAAAATAGAGAGATTGAGCTGCAATTGGGTTTTCTCTTGAGAGCTTGGTATGCTCTGTTTTAAAGAGAAAAAGTGAGCAAAAGGCTTGAACTCCATTGTGGGTTTGCTGTGTGCTCTCTTTTAGCGAGAGAAAGTGTTAAAGAGAATCCATTTTTGGGTGTTCTTGGTACCTTGTTTTTGGGCTTTATTTAGAGTGGAAAAAGGCTGCTGGAAATTGATATTTTGAGCTCGATTTCCCTTTGTAATCTTCCCAAATCATTAAGTAAAGTCTCGCACAATTCTCTCGTGGATGTAGGTCACGGTTTGTGACCAAACCCCGTTAAATCTTTGTGCTATGTGGATTGAATGTTGCTGAATTTTTCATTCTATGTTATTGCTTTGATATTGTGTAGTTTCCATTGCTTGTTTATATTAACATGAATGCACAATAGCTGTGAATGTTATAAACCCTTTCTAATTTTTCACCAATCGATCCCAACAATTGGTATCAGATTCTAGGGTTTATTCTTCATTGTGTCTGTGAAGGAAGGGTTTTTTTTTGCTATTATGGTTATTTACTGTATCTTTTTATTGAAAATGGAAAAGGTAATGGAATTTGAAAAATTAAATCAAAGTAATTGGCCAATATGGAAAATGATGATAGAAGATTATCTTGTTGGAAAAGAATTGGATCGGCCACTTCTAGATAAGGAGGCCATGCCTGTTGGAATGGAAGATTGGGAATGAGATATTCTTGATCGAAAATATTTGGCAGCTATTAGACTATGTATTTCACCATCAATTTTATTTGATGTTTGTCATTATAAAACATCTACAGATCTTTGGGAATCTTAGAGCAATCATTTGAGCAACAAATGTATGCGATGAAAAAATTATTTCTTTTGAAAATGAAGGAAGGTGCTACAATTAGGTCGCATGTGAGTGAATTTAATTCAATTTCTGCACAATTGAGGTATTTGAAAGTGAATTTGGATGAAGAAGTGTTATGTTTGCTTTTGTTGAGTTCTTTGCCTGTTAGTTGGGATACCTTAGTTACCACTGTGACTAATACAATAGGTAACACAAGGAAATATTGTTATACTTTGAAGAATAAGCCAAAGGCCAAGGGCAAAGATAGCCATGCAGAAGCAATTACAGTTTCAGATGATAAAGATTGGTTACTTTTAGTGCTGCATGCACAACATTGTCTATTGCAGATATTTGGGTTTTAGACTCTGGTGCTTCATTTGATGTTTGCCCAAAAAGGTCATATTTTTCATCCTACACAGATGTGGATGGTGGCTTGGTTTATCTTGGTGATGATCAAGCTTATAAAATATTGGGCATTCGAAATGTTATTATCAAACAATTAGATGAAAAGAAGAACACATTGAAAAGTGTGAAGCATGTTCCTGAGTTGAAGAAAAATCTCATTTCAACCAGGCAGTTAGATGACTATGGGTTCATAGTGACTTTTGGAAATGGGTCATAGAAAATTTCAAGAGGTTGTATGACATTGTTGAAAGGAAAAAAAGATGAGAGTCTCTACACTCTTCATGGCATAGCTCATAGGAATGATGCTACAAAGAAGATCGTTGTTGCAGCTAGTAAGCATGATGATATGCAGATTTGGCATAGTCGTTTGGGTCATCTCAGTGAGCATGGTAT